GAGTCAAGAAAATGGTAAATACATAATTAACCTAAAAGATATTGGTAGTGAAAATGAAGAGGATGACTTCGAATTTGTGTCATTAGGTTTAAAATATCTATCATAATGAACAACAGCAACATGTAGTCATAACAGATAAATATGGTAAAAATACTCTAAGGTCTCTGTATTGCCCAGAACTTTTCTAGATGATGAGACTATAGCAGTGTATGAAGACAAAAATCTCAACTCTAATGAAGCTTATATTCTTAATACTTTATAATCTTAAGCACTAATTTAAGAATCATTAGCTTAAGAACTTGTTACCTATGCATGGTAATATTTCAAAGGTAGCACTAAAATTTTAAATTAATGAATGAAAAAAATAAAACCAAGTAGGAATTTCAATTCATTCAAAATAAAACAAGAACAGAAAAATAAGCATTGAAGGACATCATATATATAGTGCAAAATCTTACAAGTCCAAATATGTCAATAATCACTATAACCAATAAAAACATCAAGTTTATCAAACTGAGTTTTAAAAATCCAGTTTTATGTTCTGGAGACATACCTAAAACATAAGGACAAGAGAAAGAAGAAAGTAAGAATGACAGAAAACTTTAAGCTGTAGATACATACCTTCTACTGTTGTCAACCAGTTAGTATTTCAGATTGCCCAGAAAAATATTGTTCTTTCTTATATACTGAGATTTTTATTTTTAATATAATTTTCAATGATTCTTTTAATTTACTTGTTTCAGCAATAGAGAAATTGTTGGCAATTCCCACCTTACTGCACACAGAAATGATGACTTATTTATTTCTGTTAGTCTCATTCTTAAAGATTTATCTTTTTTTTTTTTATACTGGTTTTTGAGTGTAGTCTCAACTTGAGGTTAGACATTACTTTCTCACACTTTAACACTCTCAAGCGTTCAGTATTTTTTATCTGAAGCAAATGAACTAAATAAACTGACAAGTGTATAATCCAATCTTACGGGTAATTTTTCTTTATACCTTCTTGTGTTGTAAATTACATGTTATATCCAATGTACATAGCAAGATTTACAGACCACTTCTTGTTTTCTCCCAGCTATGTCACCAGAGGGCACCAAAGGACAAGGCATCAGAAAAAGATAAGCATTTGAGAAAAAGATCACCATAAAGATAATACTTTTTGTTTTGTTTTTCTAAACCTTTTCATAAGAGCACATATGGTCAGAATAAAGAAAATTCTACTTATGAAGGTAAAATGAAGTACTAGAGTTCAAGGTATATGCCTACATTGTATATAGTGCCATACCAAAGGTTCTATGGTAGTACTTTTTAATCATACAGAAATAAATTTTGAAATCAAGAAAACAGGAAAACTGTACTGTTGAAAATTGCTTCTCTCTCTCTAGCAACTGTATATTTTTTAATTTTAGAAATAAAAAAATACAGATTTTTTCCTTTCAACAGAGATTTACATTCTTTTGTCTGTTACATGTGTCTTCTCTTCTCCCCCCCACCCCCCATCCTCTTCCACTCATTTTCTATCACCCACTACATTCCCTTATAGTCTCTGGTATCTACACTTATCCTCTCTACTATCATATCTTCAGATCCTTCAATTTTGTCATACATTGTAGACATTCAGTTCATATTGAGTGGGGATATATAGTGTGTATATTTTAAAGTCTGACTCACTTCACTTAACATTAAGTCCTCTACATTCACTTTGAATCAAATGATAGGGTCTCATTGTTTCTTACGTCTGAGTAATATTTCACAGTATGTATGTGCCCACAGTTCTCCAACTCAGTCATCAGTTTTTGGACACTTAGGTTGATTCCATGTCTTAGCAATTATGAATAATGCTGCAATGAACATAGATGTGCAGGTGTCTCTCTGACTTCAGTGTTTTCTTATCTTTTGGATAAATACCAAGGAGTAGAATTACTGGGTCATATGGTAGTTCTATTTGTAGGTTTTCGAGGAACCTCTATATTGTTTTCCACAGAGGTTATACTAATTTGCAATGCCATCAACAGTGTAAGAGGGGTCGCTTTACACACATCCTTGCCAGGACTTCTTGTTCTTTATTTTTTTGATCCTAGCCATTCTAACTGAAGTTAAATGGGATCTCATTATGGTTTTAATTTGTATCTCCCTTAGGACAAGAGACTTTGAACATTTTTGCCATTTGGCTATTCGTAAGTCTTCCTTGGAGAGTTGTCTATTCAATTTATTTGCCCATTTTTTAAATTGAATTATTTTTTTTAATGTTTGAGCTGTTTGAGTTCCCTATATTTTCTTGTTATTAACGCGTCTGAGGAATAATGTGCTATTTTCTCCCATTCTGAGGGTTGTCTTTTCACTCTACATATTGTTTCCTTTGCTGTGAAGAACCTTTTAACCTTGATATAAAATCATTTGTCTATGTTGGGTATTATTGCCTATGCTTTACGGGTTTTAAGAAATCTTTGCCTACTTCGATGTTTTCAAGTTTCCCTTAAGTGTTCTACCAGTAGTTTTACAGTTTGTGGCTTTACATTTAAATCTCTGATCCATTTTGACTTGATTCTTGTTAATTGTCAGATATAGGAGTCCAGTTTCATTTTTCTTCAAGTGGTTATGCAGTTCTTTCAAAAAGATTATTTTCAGCTCTCTATTGTCTTGTACTCTGTCAAAAATCATGTGGCCATAAGATTTGGGGTTTATTTCTGGATTCTCCATTCTGTTTCATTGGTCTATGTGTCTATTTTTGTGCCCCCACCATGCCGTTTAGATTATTATTGCTTTGTATAAATAAATTTTGAAGTCAGATATTGAGATGCCTCCTACTTTGTTCTTTTTGCAGTTTTGCCTTGGTAATACGGGGTTTTTATTATTTCAAATTTTATTTTGTTTTTCCTACCTCTGACAATTTGATTGGAATCACATTGAATATGTAAGTTTATCTGGGTAATAACTGACATTTTAAGCATATTGATTTTTCTGATCCAAGAACACAGGATGTCTTTCCATTTATGAATTATACTGAATTAAAACTACTTAATTTATAGAGAAAATTATTCTAACACTAATTTTTTAATTAGTTGAGATAGCAATGCAGTGGATATATTGGGTTGTTAGGAAAGTCAGGATGCATTTTGCACAGAAAAACAGAAAAATATACCATGACTTTTCCAACATCATGGCTTTTCCTAATATTTGCCTTTTTTTCTCTTAATCTGTGTAAAGCTTGCTGGAAAGGGTTGAGTATCTTTCTTCTGTTTACAAGTTCCTTGACTCCTTTATTTCGCCAGAAAATGTTAGGTGGCCATCAAATATTAGAGTAGGAGATTAGATCATGATGCATAGTAGGTAAGCAGGAACTAGTACACGTTTATTTGAATAGCAAAAACACTGACTTTACTCTCAGCTATATCGGAATTAAGAACCTCTTGTTGCCTGACTTGGAGTTAAATTTCTTAAGTTGGCTTTTTCACATCTATATCACACCCCTATCCTATCCCTTGACTGTCACAGTCTTGCTCTTGACATTCCGTTGGCCAGGATTTCTCTTCAACTCATCCCTTGGACTTCTCCCATCTTCAGGTATCACTTTGTGAAAGAAGCTGACCATCTTATTTACACTACCGTCTCAGTACTCCCTATCATTCCTCTCTGATTATTTTTCTTTTCCATAGTACTTAATTTAGGATTGAAAATATTTTTTACATTCAAATGTATTTATTAGCTCCTCCTCCACTGGGTAGTAAGTTCTGCAAGAACAGAATTTTTGTTTCCTTTTTTTTTTCCTTTCTTTTCTTGCCTTGGCCAGTCCTGTGCTTAGGAACTAGAAGAGTGCCTAACAAGTAGGAGCACAGTAAACATACGTTAAAATAATGTGTGAATCCTACTCTAAGTGATCATGTTTTTTGTAAATTACTTACTACATAATAGATAGCCAGTAAATTATAACTGTTATTACAAATTGTCTCGCTCCTAATTTAATTCCTATTGCTGTTTGAACTGACTTTTTTTAAACAAGGAGTTTTGAAGTTGGTTTATGAGGTAATAACTGCCAGCTTTTATAAAAGGACATGAAAAAAGAATAAATATTCCCATATCCCATGAAATTTTAATTTTATGTGTGTGCAGTGTAAGTGTGTCACAAAAGCACACAAAAATATACCAAAATACTTTCACAGGTTCTCCTGGAGATCTTTTCTCTCACAAAGAGGATCTTCCTTGCCAGAAAGGAAATGACCAACACAAGGAGACATATTTGGAAGGATCAATTTATCCAGCCTCATTTAACAACCCAGCAATCCTAGGAAATGCAGCTCACCTGACTCTTTGAATAAGAACTTTACTGATATTCCCTAAGACTCAACACTTAATGCAACCCAAAGACATACCACAGAAACAAATAGGCTAGATCATCTGTTGGATAAGATAATCTCTTATAGTAGCCACACTGTGGATAGCTTTTAAGTTTCTTCTTGGAGTTTAAGCAACTTACCAGCTGACAGGACACACAAGGGTCAACAACATGCCAGTATGACCAACTACCCTAAGCCTGAAAACTGTACACAGGTCATCTAGTTCATTGAAGTTCCTCAGTGCTTTCACTCAGGGAAGGGCCTGTCAGTCATCTAGGAACTTAACCTTCCTAGCCCATGGCACCCATAGAATTATGGCTAGGTGACTCAGTGTAACAATTGAGATGTTACCCTCTGTCTCCAACTCACTTTAATGTTCATTCTTTAATTAATAGTCACTGCAATTACAATACTTTATTTCGTGATTTTCTAAGACAACTGGAGAAATCTTAAAGGCAGGGCTGAGAAATCCTGACTTTACTACGAGACAAAAATATAAATAAATAAAAATAAAATAAAATAAAAAACTCCTAAGAAAGTGTAAGGTGTTTTGAGAAGCTGTCTGTATTCCACACCCAATTCCAGAGTATAAACCCAGTTTCTTGATCATTATAAGAAGCTATGAAGCCAGGCTCATAGTTAGTGGCTAAAGGAGCTGGATCCAACATGAAGAAGGCAGCTAGAATCCTGTCCCTGGAGGCCCCAGAAAACATGCTAGGTACATGTACATACATGCCCAAGATTGCAACAGGATGGAAAAATGGTAGAAAAGATTGTGGAATAAGCATACCCTATAGGGTAGATGTGCTTTCTCCCCCTCTCTCTGACAAGCATACCTGCACTTTGTGTGTGTGTGTGTGTTGGGGGGCGGGGGGTGGTGGTAGGAAGCTGTATAACACAATGAGTAATGTAGAACTGATGAAGCTATTGTTACATGAAGTCTATGAATTATACCAAAGTCAATTTCTATGTTTTGATAGTGAACTATAGTTAAGATGTTACCATGAGGGAAAACTAGGTGAAGGATAGACAATACCTCTCTGTGCTATTCTTCCAATTTCTAGTGAACATATAATTATTTTTAACAATCAATAAGGGACATCAAAAAATATTTGGTCTTCTTCTCAGTCACTACCCTTTTCAACATAGAAATTATTGCTATTTATCAGATATGTATTTCTAATTAGTAGGAATGGGTAGGCAAATGAAAACATTTGAGGACATATTAACCATCTTAAGGGAATATTTGACTATTGAGAAAGTTTTGAAGGATTACACAGACATATGACTAATGAAGAAAAATAATAATGTATGTAATGCACTGATTTTAAATAAAAATGCTTAGGCTATAAAAAATGCTGAACAAATACTTAATTGAACTTCTTGATGTATAAGTATAAAAGGCTAGTGGTAATAAACTACCCATCTTTAAGTTGTAAAGTGATGAACCATTTTAGAGAGAATTATTTTAGTTTCCTCTTGTCTTTGGGATGCTTAGTCTCCTGGTAGGCGCATAACCACTGTAACTTCCTGGACAACTGAGCTATGACCTTGCTCATACACTAGAAGGTTGAGCATTTTGTTTAACTCTCCAAGTACTAGGACAATAATAAGCATTTTCTGAGTCCTGAACTCACAGGTGAAAGCAATGATTTAAAAGTCCCCCACTTTATGTTCTGAAAAAACAGCCAACTTCAAGGGAGTACCTCTCCTTGTATATCCAAGAACCCATTCATTATCCACCATTTCTCATGTCTCCCTGGTTTACTACCTCTATAAAACCTCAAGTCTTCTTCCTTTTCTTTGAGATATTCTTTGGGAGAAATGAACATTCCTATTGCAATAGCCAGATTAAAATCAACATTGTCTGGTGAATTTCATCTTTCACTACAATTTGCAGGCAAAGTTTTGTTTCTCCAGCTTTTCTTAAATTCATTTTTCAGATGAATAAATGAATGTAATTTTTGCCATACTTCTCAGGATTACTAGTAAATTAAACTACATGGTTAAGTATGAAACTTGACTTTTTTTCATTCTTCCCAGAACTAAATATGTTGTACAAAGAACATCTGTCTTCTACAATAGACACTAGAGCACGACTCACTGTTTTGCACTACAGGAAACTTGTTCTACAAATTATTTATAAAAGAAAAAACACATATTTTTGCCAAAACTTTAAAATCTGTGCCCTCTTTCAGTTCTGTTTCCTCAAATCCCCTCCATGTCCTATATTTCAGAGATAATAAAAACCTGTTCTAACAATGCCGGGAGGTCCTTTCCCATGTATTTCTCATAGTAATTCTGAAGAAAAGGTATAATTATTCTCACATTTCTAAGCAAATAGCATAAGGATATATGAAGGAGAGTTCAGATTCTGGCAGATGCCAAGGTTTAAACACTGGCTTTATCAACAACTACCCAAATAGGGTTGGGCAAGTTACCTATCTTTTTTTTTTTCCTTGGAGAGGTTTTCGCTATAGGGCACGTGCACTCGCCAGACAGACAGATAGAGACAGAAAGCGAGAAATCACCCCCCAGAGGGGATGGTCACGCCGCAATCCCTTCTCCTCCATTCTCCTCTTGGGATCTTGGGCACGCACGCACACGTGCCCGGCGTGAGTTTTGAGCCACCGGGTTCGGGACTCGAACTGCAGTCGACTACGTGGGAGTCCAGCGACATAGCCATTACGCTAACTGCTGGTTCCCAAGTTACCTATCTTTATCTCAGCTCTTCCTTCTTTAAAATGGGAATGATAATAGTACCTACATCATAGAGTTGTGAGCATTAAATGAGTTGTTAAATATATATCAAGCACACAGTATCAAACAATGCTTGAAGAAGTCACTCTCTGTTATGAAACTAGTATAACTTGCCAAGTTCACATAGCTAGAAGAAGGTGGCAATACCAGAATCCAAATCTAGGTATTTCTAACTTTAAACCTGATAACCTGCCCACATTGCTGGGCAATCAGGAAAGAACACTAACCAATGAAAGAAAAATTTGATAAATTTGATTATATTAAGAACTTTGATTTATCAAAAGGCATCATGAAAACAGTACAATGGGTTAGCTAGGGAGTGCAATACATGTAATTAACAGAGGACTCAGTATATTTAAAGTTCTACAAATGAGTAAGCCAGATGATTTAAATATGTAAAACTTGAACAGGTACTTTACAAAAGAAATCCAAATAAGCAATAAACATATGAACAGAAGTCTAACATTTTAGTAATCAGGGAAATGTAAGATACATTTAGACATTCATCAGAGCTTGCAAACTCCTATATAGACCAAATTCAACACTTGGAAAAATCAACTTGGGAAATTGGCAATATATAGACAGTCATATGACTCCTCCAAGACTTAGAAATTTCTAATCTTATACAGGTATGGTAGAGCAGTGGTCTTCAATTAGAAGGAACATAAAACTGTACACAAGGACAGACTGCTTTATGGAAATCAGTTCTGCTCTCACGAGTACTCTAGGTTGGTCTGGCACATCATGAGCCTACACTTGAGGTACAACTTGTCCTGTCCTGGAATATGAGTGGGTAGTGTGTGATACCGTCAGCCATGCTAATTAAGGTTAGCTTTCTCTGTTCTTGTTTTCCAGTGATAGATTGAGAATAATGGGGTGGCAGTCACAAAGTGGAAGGCTCCTGGGTTCTTCAGTCACACATGTAGAACACTGAACACTCAATTTCTTTACAAGAGCAAGAAATAATTTTCTTAAACTGAAGTTTTTATGTTATTCTATTATTGTTGTTTTAACTAATATTTGAGTTTCTAAATGTTGAGCTGAGAGCTACAATCAGGCACTAATCAGTTTCTCCTTATAAAATGGCATATAAGAACTTAATTGAAAGTTAAGTGTAATTTCCAATCCTTGGCTGTCTCTGTATATGAGTATTAAGATCATTTAGGGTGTTCTTCAAGTAGATGCAGAGGCTGCAGCAGAATTCTCAGATTAATCTGGGTGATAGCCACACAACTTTGGAAAGACGTTTAACAGGATTCAATTCCATTGTTTAAGATAGATGTTTCAGATCCCACAATGCATTTCGGAACCCTCCTCATCCGCACTCACAGCCAGTAGATTCCGTCTCTTTGTACTCATTTACTAGGGAGGTTGCAGTCAGTCCTAACAAGCAAGGGAGTGGGGCTTCCGGTAAAAAAGTGGTAGCCTTTGGAAGAAATGAGCAGAGGCTCTGTTGTCTCAAATACAAACTAATCAGCCCCTTTATTTTTTAACTCCCAGATGCCTATTTCCAACTATACTCAACAGATACATGAGTAGGATGTGTACAAATTACACACATGAAAAGGGAAGGCTTGGGCTAGCAGGTGGTGTGGAGGTTAAGGCAGCTAGATCCTACATGGCTAACTGCATTGTTGGAGTCCTAGACCTGGAGGCTTAAACATCGCCTGCTGTGTGTGATGTGTGCCCAAAATCCCAAGAGTGAAGAAGAGATTATAGCGTGACCATTCCCCTGGGGCATGACTTACTTTTCCTCTCTCTCTCTATGGTGAGTGTACACACCCCATAACAAACTGGGAAAAAATAAAAACAACAAGGTAGCTAGTCCAGTCACGCAGGACTGGCAGCAGCAGGGTCTGCGACTAGCAGCCTGCAGCATTCGCGTTATTGCAATGAGTTTACCTCTATCCCAAACTTTTCCTCAATGGATTAACAGAAAGGCCAGTGATGGTGAAACTCAAGTGGGGAATGGAGTTTAAGGATTACCTGGCATCTGAAGACGGGTATATGAACATGCAGCTTGCAAACACAGAATACGTAGATGAGGTGTTGTCTGGACATCTGTGTGAAGTTTCACTAAGATGTAATAACGTTCTTTGTATCAGAGGTGTTGAATAAGAGGAAGATGGGTAAATGAGAGAATAGCATCTTTTGCAGATTGTTTTTATGTATTTCTAGACAATAAAGATTTTTCAGTAATTTTTTTTTTTTTTTCACAAAAGGGAAAGCTTAGAAGCTCCTTCAAACTTATTTGGTTATATTCTAAGATCTACCTAGTGAAGTGGTACATTTACTTCCTGCAGTGATAACTCATTAATCAGGCAAATCTACTGAAACAAGAATTCTTACATTAACATTTTACCTAGAGAAAGAGAAAAGGACAAGAGTGTGAGGGTAACATCTAAGAACTGAAAAAAAAAGTTCTGGCACAGGGTTCCACAGATTGGGAGAAAACAAATTCTAATCAAACTCTTATCATCATCCCTGATAGAACAAATTTAACTTAAAAATCTACCCTTTAAATTCATTGTTTTTAAAGGGAGAATTTCTGTGGTTTTGGTTGCCTGAGTTCAATGGTAAATATTCCTTTTGAGAAACTCTTCTCTCCTGAGATAAAAACAGTAAAATTCCCACAACCGAGCAGGTTCAGTGCAGTGTGATGAGCTAGTGAGGTAGCAGTAAGCCAATACAGCTTTATACCCAAGAAACTGGTAGCTCACTGGATACTCGCATTTCAGATGGAGAAAGCTGCATGTTTCAACACGTTTCTTGGGCTATCCCTAGATAGGCATATTGGGAATTTTTTTCAGTCAGGTTTACATTAGATCTGGTTTTTTTTTTTTTTGGTCGGGTCTAACACCCGACCAAAAAAAAAAAAAAGGTTAAAGTAACTTATATATCAGTCTATTACTAACCACTATCATTTGCCTCTCTTTATGAAAAGCCTGGCTGGAACAGCACAGATCACAGCAACTGCAGAAACAGCATCCACCTTGTCAGTCTAACTAAGCTTGAAAGAGGAAGAACAGTCAGATCTAATGTCACCAGGACTCCAGAAAGAAAAAAGAAAAACAGCACTTACAAAACAATGTTAATGACAAACAGTCCCTATGGTCTGGTCACATTAGAAACACAATATATACATTCACCAACGATATTTTATTGGGTGCCTATTCTGTGCAAAAGCACTATGCTAGGTGCTGGGGAAGATACAAAGATAAATCTGATGGACTGCCCTCAAAGAGCTTACAGTCTAATATAGGAGCGTACAGTCTCTGGAAAAGATATTTTAGGTGTAATTAACCTCCCCCCATCCACCCATACCAAAAGAAAACAAAAAAATCACAACTTCAGTTTACTAGTCTTGGTTTCTTCCATTTACTTTTAGTTCAGCAGCTTCACATAAAAAGCATAAATCTGAAAGTCTTTTAAAATGCATACTTTTTACTTATAAACAAAACTCATTTTCATTAGAAAAAATGCTGAATATTTATTGCAATTAAGAAAATCCTCAAACATATATTCAGTATTTTCATGAATTTTTTTTATGAATTTGTATTTGTGAAGTAAACAATTTCCCAAATTGCATCAAAAACATGCAACAACTTTTTGAAATAGATCTCTTTAAGTCACTGGAAGTCACACATAATGTACACAAGCTCTCTGCTAAAAGCAAGGAAAGCTTCTGAAATGGATGTTTATTACCAAAGTTCACAGCTTATGGTTTTTTACCCCCATAAACCCATTTCATGTCAATTCAAAGTATTACAAAATAACACCTCTGTTAATCTATACCCTAAAGATCCAAAGCTTTAGATCTCTCAGCTTTAGATTAAAAACTACAGTGAAAACTGTTCATTTATCACCTTCCAGTCCATCTCTTAGTGCTATTAAGTGGTTGGCCAGGACCCACCAAAGACTTATAAAATAATTTCAGGAAAAGAAGTACAAAATAATCCACTTTCCTTAATACACCCTTAGGAATTGATGAAGCTTTTTGTTATTTCCCTTTCAGCACTAAGAAACCACAATGTAATCAATTAGAGGAATAAAAAACACTGATAGAGCTGTTTGTCTGATTAGAAAAAATGCTGAATATTTATTGCAATTAAGAAAATCCTCAAACATATATTCAGTATTTTCATGAATTTTTTTTATGAATTTGTATTTGTGAAGTAAACAATTTCCCAAATTGCATCAAAAACATGCAACAACTTTTTGAAATAGATCTCTTTAAGTCACTGGAAGTCACACATAATGTACACAAGCTCTCTGCTAAAAGCAAGGAAAGCTTCTGAAATGGATGTTTATTACCAAAGTTCACAGCTTATGGTTTTTTACCCCCATAAACCCATTTCATGTCAATTCAAAGTATTACAAAATAACACCTCTGTTAATCTATACCCTAAAGATCCAAAGCTTTAGATCTCTCAGCTTTAGATTAAAAACTACAGTGAAAACTGTTCATTTATCACCTTCCAGTCCATCTCTTAGTGCTATTAAGTGGTTGGCCAGGACCCACCAAAGACTTATAAAATAATTTCAGGAAAAGAAGTACAAAATAATCCACTTTCCTTAATACACCCTTAGGAATTGATGAAGCTTTTTGTTATTTCCCTTTCAGCACTAAGAAACCACAATGTAATCAATTAGAGGAATAAAAAACACTGATAGAGCTGTTTGTCTGGGTCAAAGTGCTACAGAAGAGTATGTGAGCACTGCATTTAAAATTAATTCATTTCTAACCATAATTACTTTAAGCATGTGTCTTGCAATTATTCTCTTTTCTCAGAATCATCTCTGGGCTCAGACATTTCTAAATGTACTTGGGTTTTTAGAAATGAGGAGGTTTGCGTCTTTGAACACTTGAGATTACTTGACACATTGAGACGAAGGTAGATGATATGGTTATCAAACTGAAGACGTCAATTTTTTTAAATGTAGAATTATGACTAGTAGAACTGTGCGCACCCAAAAATGAGTTCCTGAGACGGCGGTTCCTTATACCCATTTTGAAGCATTCTTGTCCTGAGCAGTTTCCCTTAGTTATGTAAAAATGAACAGCTTTATGCACATTGTGCTCATTGAGCTTTTCTACTTCTCTTCTTCAAAGTCCAAACAAGTGGGTTTGTCAAATAAACAAACTGTAACTCAAGTAAATTTCAACATTAATCTGTACCAGACTAACAGACTTACACGGCATAGAGGTATAAATGAACTGTTAAACCAGTCCCCATGTGTGACCAGGACTGAAAGCTCATTGTACACACTCTCCTTAAGAAGAATATACCCAATTTTTAAGTTTTGACACTTACAGATTTTAAGTTTTCATGTCTAGTTTTTGTATAAACTAAATGAGGTTAAATGTTCTGGTGCAAAAGCTAAGAGAAATACAGTCAGATCAATATGAATGATGTATTAGTCTTTCAATCACCTTCCTGTCTTCACATTATTAAGATGCTTTTCTGTTCAATCTCTTTGCTGAATAGGTAAAACAAATTTTAGACTTGTGTGGTATGAAAGAACCACCATTTAAGTTAATTAGCCCAACTCTGTCACTTTACAGATAAAGAAACCAAGACCCTGAAAAGTTTAATGAGAAGCTAGCAGCCAAATCCAATCTAGTATCCGTATTATACCTCTAACCTTTCTGCTAGTTTTAAAAACTTATACTCACGTGCTTTTACATGACCTACATATAATACCTGTTAAAATCAATGCAATTAAATAATGATATATTTCATATGAGGTAAATGTAACAAATGTTTTAATTTAAACAGTTCTTAGAAAATAGTAGCCCTTTTTGGTTACTGCTGATAGTGTAACTACAGTGTTTGGTCTTCTTTTTAAGGGTAATTGATTTGCAGTTGCAATCATTGAAGCTGTTTATTTGCCCACTACAGGGAAAAAGGAAGCATTAAATACAGTTGTATATTTAATGATAAGTTATATATTTAACCCCTAAATTATTTTCACATACTTATATTTTCTTACTTTTAATATAAATGAAAGGAGTTTATACAGAAAACGAAATAAAGTATTACTTTATGTAAGTTGTTGGCAGCTTAAAAATTAGTCACTTCCATACTGAATAGGAAACCTCTTCTAGAAGTAATTAAAGGAGTGCCTAAGATAACAAAAAGTATGCTTTCTTATTTATAAGTAAAATCTGATTAGTCTGTAACCTGAGGTATAAGAAAAAAGACAAGCCTAGAGAATCAGACCTCAATTCAAGTTTCAACTCCATCCTTGCCAGCTGTTTAGCCTTACAGCAATGCAATAAACTTCTGGGTTTCAGTTTCTTCATCTGAAAAGAGCTAACACTTGTATCACGTACCTCATCAGACTACTGAGGATAACATACAATAAAATATATGTGAGTGCTTTGTAACTGAAAAAGCACACCACAAATATTAATTACCCCAATAATAATTAAAATGTGGACCTACAGAAAACTGGAAATAATTACCACTTAGTGGCACTAGGCATGCTCACTAAAATGAACTTAACTCAAGAGTGTAAATCATGCAAACATTTTTAACTTTCAATGGCAAAGCTAAAAATTATACAAAGATATAATACAAAGGAACATTTTTACAGAAAGCACTGAAAGACAGAGTTGACTTAAGAGACTTTAAAATGTGTTAGGATGATACACAGCATATAAAGAGGTATTTAGTTTTTAAGTGGAGAAAGTTGCTAGTCACCTGTAAGAATAACAAGCATATGGGTATTCCTAAGACAAATGGAATAAAATGTCATCACTTTTGGCTTTTTGTGAACCAGACTTCTAATAAATAACCACAGAAATTTTTCCAGTATTCAAACATAACCTAAAAGAGATAAGAGAGAATGTCTACTTCTAAATCACATCAAATGTGAACTTGCATGAATGCAAGGCATAAATTACAGAGTTCTTAGGACTCTACAGGCACCTGAACATATTAACTACCCTTCATGCTCACTTTGTACTCCATAAAGAATAACAGAAACACAGGGACTACTTCAAATAAATATCCATTATAAATCCTTACAATGTACTTGTCTTATTCTTATAATACTCCACTCTGGTGGCCTTGTTTTTATGTTTGTAAAATTAAGTTTAAGTAGTCCATTAACTTTTCCTTTCAAATATGCCTTTTAAATGTTAGTTCTTATACCGCCCTCCCCCCCAAAAAAGAAAAAAAACAAAAACAAAAACAAATGAAAATGCAAGGGAAGAAATAAATGAGATACAATTCATTAAGTATAAAAATATGCTGTTTCAAATTCAGAATAATTTAATAACTCTTCGTTATCTCATATGTATCTGGAAATGGGACAGATACGTGTCCTGATCCTGTCACAAGAGGTAGAATTCCAGCATTTGGTACAACATTCCAAGATAGGGTCAAAGTGACATTCCTGTTTCCCCTATAAAAAGATATAATAACCATAAGTCAGCAGAAACACTTGTAGCTCCATAAAAACATTTTAAAGCAAGTATTATGGCATCAAATGCTTTATTTATAGTTATTCCTAACAGACATCCTAATCTGCAAAAAAGAACTACTTTCTCATGTCATTTGAAATGCAAAGATAAGCGCTGTACCACATATAGGCAAGTCCGTGCCCCCTGTACATCTAGAATATAAACTATAAGCCTTTATTACTTTGACTATTACATCTCAAATACTGCAAAAGAACGGATTACTTATTTTAGATCCCAGCTTGTACTTCTACCCAGTCTTCTAGTTTAGACCTGTATTTCTCTCCCAACTTTTATTATCTTCTATTATTTTTCTGCAAAATAAAATACACTGTATCTTTGATTCACATCTTATTAAATGTAAAAAAAAAAAAAAAAGATTTGCTCACTTGAGACCATTTCCATCGTCAAAGAAAAAATATTTTGTTTTCATATCCTTCAAAAACAGCTTCAAATTATCACCTCTCAGAACAATTTTATCCCAGAGGACAACTTGGTTCAGAGCCTACATTAAAATGAAAATTAATTAGATAATTCATCAGAAATAGCATCCTATTATTTCACATTGAAAGTCAGTCATCCTTCAGTATCCACAGGGCTTAGCTCCAGGACCCCTGTGGATACCAAAATTCAGATATTCAAGTCCCTGATATAAAATGGTATAATATCTGCAAGCAACAACAATATCCCTCCTCATACTTTAAATCATCTCTAGATTATTTATACCTATTACAATGTAAATGCTATATAAATATTGTTTCAGAAATAATGACAAGAAAAAAGTTTATACATGTTAAGATATAGGCACAACCATCGTATACTTAACTATGCAGAATATTTTCCATCCACAGTTGGTTCAATGTGCAGATGTAGAACTCAAGGGAAAGCAGTAGTAGATCAGTAAGCAAATAGTTTAACATATTACTAAGTTCAACTTTAAGGGATTTGCTAAAATCTAAAGGCAAACAAAGTAAAAGCAAGTAGACAGGCACAAGAAGGGGCAATCTTGGGACCAGCAGTTGGCATAATGGCTATGTCGCTAGACTCCCATGTAGTCGATTGCAGTTCTAGTCCCAGACCCAGTTGCTTAAACTTACACAGGGCACTAGGACCAGCAGTTAGCGTAATGGCTATGTCACTGAACTCCCATGTAGCCAACCGCAGTGCGAGTCTGGGACCCGGTGGCTTAAACTCACGCTGGGTGCATGTGCGTGCATGCCCAAGATCCTGAGAGGATAATGGAGAACGGATTGTAGTGTGTCCCCCCAGGGGGGGATTTCTCACTTTCTATCTCTCTGTCTGTCTCGGTCTTTCTGGTGAGCCCACACACCCTATAGCAAAAACCTCTCAAAAACAAAACAAAAAAAAAACTCACACCTGGCGCGTATGCATGCATGCCCAAGATCCCAAGAGTATGGAGGCGAAGGGATTGCGGCATGGCCATCCCTCCTTGGGAGGTGATTTCTTGCTTTCTCTCTCTCTGGTGAGTGCTTCTCGCTTTCTGTCTCTCTGGTGAGTGCACATGACCTATAGCAAAAAAAAAAAAAAAAATGGGGAGCAATCTTTTCCTAGAAAAAATAATGGTATTTACCTAAAGGGAATCATTAATTTTACAAATCAATTGTATCACTAAGGACCCTTCCAGCTTATTACACGGTTCTAAATCTATACTCTATAAAAAGTGGAGCCCTTAGAAGAACCCTGAAAAGGAATTTTTATTTTCTTTAAAGACAGGGTTTTCAGGGGCCAGCAGGTGGCATAGCAGCTAAGGTGCTGAACTCCCACATGGTAGACCATGGTTCAATACTCAGACACAGTGGCTTTAAAATCACACTGCGCACATATGTGTGCGTGAGCATGTGTATGCATGAACATGCCCAAAATTCTAAGAGAAGGGAAGAAAAAGGGACTGCAGTGTGGCCATCCACCCTGAGGGGTGATTTCTCACTTTCCCTCTCTCCCTTCTTCAGTAAGCACACTTACCCTATGACAAAAACCTTAAAAAAAAAAAAAAAAACAGGGTTTCACTTTGTGTTGATCCTCCTGACTTAGTGTCCAGCGCAGCTGGGACTATGGGCACAGGCCACAATGTCCAGCTTTTAGTTTAGACCAGGAATAGATCCCAGACTTTCCATTAGGCCCTGACTGTGGAGCACAGCAGTTTTAAACGGAGTGTGGGCTGAGGCGAAGCATGAAAGTACTCTGCTAAATCACTTTTCACCATAAAATCTGAGACCATCTTGCTCCATGTGGACTCTGGATGGTAAAAGGAAAACAGGAAAAACTAGGCCCTATTCCCTCACTCTTTTAAAACAGGTTACTGTTTCCAGATTATATCATGAAAATGTATGAATCTCCAAGACTGTAAACAGTCAAGGAATACCAAAATCAGTCTTTAAAAGATCATTTTTTCCCTTTAAGGAAAATATATATGTACATCACTGTTCCATCATAGTAAAATCCTAGAGGCCAATTATTTTAAGCCACTATCTCAATATATTACAAACAAGTTCCATTTATAAAATTAGGAGAATGAAATGAACAGAAAACACATTTGTGACTGTGACTAAATCCCAAGAAGTTCGTTATATTAAGCTATCATCCATTAGCTTGTGAGGCTGACAATTCAGTGTGTGGTGTCTATGTTAACTAAAATCAAAAGTGGAACAGTGATTTCTGAAAGAGGGTTCAAATCTCTTTATAGTCTTTCTAACATTAAACAAAAACATTTAGAAGAACAGAGAAGCAAAGATATGCTGAAGTAAAATGATTCTTTATGTAGATCTATTATCCACCAAGCAATAATGTGTCAAATTCCAACACAGTACAAATTTACTAGTTATGCTGAAGTAAATCAGAATTATAAATATAATTTAGGTATACTTGTCATAAAAAAGGCAACATTTATTTCAATAATTTGTTGAAACTTGTAGAATAATATATGTATTTATATTTAGTTACTCTTAGCTCCAGGAATAGCCTTTTCTGTTTCTTTTACCATTTTGTTGACTCTGAAAGGCAGAAATCAAAACTTACCCATCCCAATATTCCTAGTGCCCAAAAAATACCTAGCATAAAATATAGCTCAGAATAAGTGTATACTGAATTGACTATACATTGAATTGAAGTGCTAAAAATTCCAGTTAACTAATAAAACCATTAAATAGACAAAAACTGATTAATGTGTGGTCCTTAAAAATAAATGTAGGGGACCAGCTCCATAGTGCAGTGGTGATGGGCTGCTCGGGAAACAGCAAATCCGGGACCAGCAGTTAGCATAATGGCTATGTCGCTGGACTCCCATGTAGTCGACCGTGGTTCGCGTCCCGGACTCGGTGGCTTAAAACTCACGCTGGGCGCATGTGCGTGCGTGCCCAAGATCCCGAGAGGAGAATGGAGAAGGGATTGCGGCGTGGCCATCTCCCCTGGGGGGGGGGGGGATTTCTCACTTTCTGTCTCTCTGTCTCTCTCTGTCTGGCAAGCGCATGCGCCCTACAGCAAAAACCTCTTCAAAAAACAAAAAAGAAAAAAAAAATTAAAAAAAAAAAAAACGGCAAATCCCATAGACCAACTGCAATTTGAATCCCTCACCCAGTTGGCCTAAAACATGTCTGGCACACATGTGAGTGTCAAAGATCTGACGGGCTGGAGGACTGGAGGAAGAGCTCGATGTGACCAGTCTCTATGGAGGGTGCTCATGTCTCTCTCCTATTCTTATGTGTGCATGCATGAGCTCTAGGATGAACAAAGGAAATGAGGAGTTCAAATAAAATATAGTGTGGACTCTGGATGGTAAAGGGAAAACAGAAAGAACTAGATCCTATTCTCTCACTCTTTTAAAACAGGTTACTGCTTTCAGGTTAGACCAGGAATTAACTCCATGCTACACTAAGGGTAATTCAGGTAAAAATAACATATAAGCACATTTTGATTCCACAGATTTCACCTTCATGATAAGGCTATCACTTTATATCAGTAACAACACTAAATATGACCAAAGATTTTTGCATTAATATCCTATATGAATATCTCACCCCCCATGCTACCTGTTCCACTAGCTTTCAATCATATTCTAATAGATTTAGTATATTTTAATGTAAAAATTCAATAGCTTTTAATTATAAAACTTATTATAATCTATGAGTAATTGTAGATAAATGGGACTATCATAACAGCTCAAGCTATGAATTTTTACATAAAGAAAAATGTAAATTTTGGTACTGAGATAGGTTATAAAATAATCTCGGAAGATAAATTTTTCAGTAATCTTTACAACTTTTGATTACATATTTTTAAAATGAGAGTTTTAGTCATTTGTCAATTTTGTGGATCTAAATATTACTGTGCAGCTCTGTAATAGTGGCTACGGAGAGATTCTTTTATTTTTATTTATTTATTTTGAGTGGTTTTTGCTATAGGGTATGTGCACTCGCCAAAAAGACAAAGACAGAAAGTGAAAAATCACCCCCCAAGGAGGATGACTATACTGCAATCCCTTTTCCTCCATTCTCCTCTTGGGATCTTGGGCATGGTCACACATGCGCCTGGCCTGAATTTAAGTCACTGGGTCCGGAATTTGAACCATGGTCGACTACACGGGAGTCCAGTGACATAGCCATTACGCCAACTGCTGGTCCCAGAGAAAATCTTTTAGTTTAAAAAAGTATACTACTAAGTCACAAGTCTGCCTCTCCATTTCCTGTTCCTCAGCTCAGCAACATCCTTTCTGATCACACCTTTGAAAGTGATCATCAAGAATTTTTAACCACAAATTATTTTGAGCACAAAATCCCAAACTATGCATTTTTACTTATAAATTATGTAAATGGTACATATGTACTATTAATCAATCACTTTATTACTACTTAATATCATCATTTTAACATAAAAATCCTTTCCACTTTAAATAGTCTTCTTGATCAATGTTGAATTTTCTAAGTCAGCTTATTAGATCTACTTAGGTATCTGTTTGGTTTTTTAATCCCTTAATGTGACTTGGCCACTAAGAAGAGAAACATGTATCAGCTCTGCCAATTCCTCATTGTTTCCATAATTTTAGACCATTAGTATTATCTTCGCTCTGTGATTTCTTTGCAGCAAGCTTTTTAAGACACTTCCCTTTTGTGAGGATTACCTCAAACTAGATAATATAATCTACTTTGAAACATATTGCATGTACTGCAGTACTTTGCAAAATGCTGAAAGTGAATGAATGACTATTAGGTAGCATGGTCAACCTCCTGACCTACTGATTTCCTCACTTCCTTTGGAATATGTGCATGTGATACAAGACATGTGACCATCTGACTTAAGAACTAAGCAAGAATATTAACGTCACTTTATGTATCAAGCATTAAAAAAACTTAACCTTTTTCCCTTTTATTTTTTAATAAAATTAACTAATTAATTAATTAGATATAGGGTCTTTCTATGCCCAGGCTGGCCTCAAATTCATGATCCTACTAGGTTTTGTAGTAGCTGGAACTACAGGCATGCCCAGCTTCCATGTTATTTAAACCAAAATATATATTAATAAAAGCACTTATTGTTTTCTATATATACCTATGGATTACTTTGCATGTACCCCATTCTGGAGACCACAATGCCAGAGAGCTCTAGAACAGACCATACAAACAAACAAAAACAACAGAAAAGCTGTCTAAGGGGATAAAGTTTTTATAATAGAATCACATTTCCATAGACTTGTGAATTTTACAAGGCTACCCAAGTCTGATACACTAAATATATAAAAATATACATATATTTTTTTTTAAGAATTATTTAATTTTATCACTATTATTTTATTTTGTTATAGGACACATGTGTTCACCACAGAGCAAGTGAGAGAGAGCGTGAGAGAGAGAAAGTCAGAAAGCAAGCTGCCAGGTCCAGGACTTGAACTGCAGTTGACCACTGTCGGAGACCAGCACCTTAACCACGATGCACCAGCTGGCATCCAAAACCTATATTCTTTCACAAAGAATAAGGTTCTAAATAGCTATTAAAAGATACCTAAAAATACTTACATTATTTTTTGTTGAATATTCTGCTGATAAATAAAGAAACAATTGCTTAACGTTCCAATCAAATATATTCTCTAGATGTAAACAAATTAAGGAATATACATATGTCATAAAGCAGTACAACTTTTCAACAGACTCTAGTTATTCTTGGGTTAATTATCCATAGTGATACTAACATTACAATAGAAAAAAAGGAGATACGGTCTCAAAACATGCTGAGCCATTATTTTAATAAAAATATACAGAAGATAAAAATATTACAAAATCTATCCCATTCCAAAACTAGAGACGACATCAGTTTGAGAATATCAGCATCCTCCCTGTTCCTCTAAGTATTACTAGCTGAGATACTTTGGTTAATAAGAAACTAACAAAGATACCCAAAAATTAGTTTTTTGTAACATCAACTCACCAAATCTAAAAGAAAGAGGACTTAGCATTTCAAGTACATACAATTCAACGAGAGTTCTAAGGTATAATCAATTACCATTATTTAAATTTAACATTATGGAAAAAAAAATCTAGGCTCAAGTAATTAACTATGTATAATAAATTGTATAGGGTGTTCTTGATCAAATGCCGGTATCAAAATTTCTCAATACATGAAGTGCTTGGGTAAGATACAGCTGAACACCAATTTGGCTCCATCAGCTTCTGGGGAAGACAGGGACAAACTCACCAAAAGTAAAAGAATGGTACCACTACTGAGACATCAATCAAGTTACTATTGAGATTTTACTAAGAACTGGGACCAGCAGATAGCATAATGGTTACATTGCTGAACTCCCACGTAGTCAACCGTGGTTTGAGTACTGGACCCGGTAGTTTAAAACTCACTATGGGTACATGTGCATGCATGCCCAAGATCCCAAGAGGAGAATGGAGAAGAAGAGATTGTGGTGTGAACATCCTCCCCCGGGGGGGGGGGGAATTTCTCGTTTTCTGTCTCTGCTCTGGCGAGTGCAAGCACTCTATAGCAAAATTCTCTCTTAAAAAATAAATAAATAAAATAACTACATGTAAATTGTTGTCATTTTATTATGAGCATTTACAAAATGAGAACATGTTTGTTATTACACACTTTTAATTCTGTTAGCCACTACGAATCACTCATTTAAAGTTGAGATGTCTGGGACAGCTCTTCATAAGGATAAGTACAATTTCAAGTTGGTAGCATTAAGAAAATCTAAGTAAGCCATAAATAATGAGACTGATCATGTATTAATACAGTAGATGAAATATTATAAAATTTCACTATAATTCTCTAGATACATAAAACTACTACATTCCCACTAGATCTTAACTCCTTTGAGTAATATTTTTTAATGACAAGACTTTAAAAAGGACTAATCCCTAGTCTGTCTCAATCCAGTAATTGTTTGTTTTTATTTGCTATAGGACACTCATGCTTGCCTGGGGGAGAAGGTAAGAGGGGGAAAGTGAGAAACCATCCCATTTCTCCTCCATTTTCCTCTCAGGATTTTAGGAACACAAATACGTGTGCCCAGCATATTTTTTCAAGCCACTGGATCTGGGATTTTAACAGCTATCAGTCATGTGGGATCCAGCTGCCTTAACCACTATGCCAACAGCTGGCTCTCTTTTCTTTTTTAAATACAGGGCCCCACCATGTCCTGATCCTCTTACCTCAACCCTCCAGGTAGTTATAACAGCTTCTGCCACCATACCATGGCACTTGCCACAACACTGAGTTCTCTTCCCAGACCAGCCTTGAACCATGCTACCCTCCTGCCTCAGCCTCCAGAGTAACTGAGGTTACAATCATATGGCATCACACTCTGATTACCAGATCAGGAACAGAAACAAGGCCTCTCATATGGTCCCATTCTACCGAGCACAGCGTCTCAGCAGCATATGCCATCATGGCTAGGTCCCAATAAATGATTTCTAAAGAATTAAGTTACAAGTAATTTCATGGTTGTAAAAAGGCATATTCAGTAAACTCCCCAGGTATATATGACCTGCTTCAATGTTCACACAGCTGCTTTACACAAGTTCAGACTGTTCAATCTCCATAAACACTTTCAGTCATGATCGGGCTTAAAATGGCCGAGACCATTGCCAGATATTAATCTCAGATGCTAAGAAGATTAAACTGGCCAAATGAGCAGAGTTGTCAAAAGATGAAAACTCAAGATAAAAAGGAAGTATTTAAATAATCTCCATTAAAGTAACTCTTATTTTTTTAAAAATTGTTTTATTTAACTTTTTAATTTGACCAGAGAGGAACAGAGTGACAGAGAAAGAGGGTAAATGAGAAAGCAAGCTGCCAGGTCCGGGACTCAAACCAGTCAGCCATATGGGAGTCCAGCACCCTTAACCACCATGCCACGAGCTGATTCCAAAGTAACTCTTTAATTGATCAGATTTCTGATTCTTATTGTAAGTCATTATAAAAAGAACTATAAAAGGAAAATATGGTTTATCAATAATTATTTTGATAAGACCTTTGGAACCATAACAGAAACAAGTCTCTTTTTTTGAGAGGTTTTTGCTATAGGGCGCGTGCGCTCAACAGAAAGAGAGAGGCAGAGAGACAGAAAGCGAGAAATCACTCCCCAGTGGGGGATGGCCACACCACAATCCCTTCTCCTCTCGGGATCTTGGGCATGCATGTACACGTGCCCCCACCCTGAGTTTAAGCCACCATGTCCAGGACTTGAACCGTGGTCGATTACATGGGAGTCCAGCAACAAAGCCTGATCACGCTAACTGCCGGTCCCAAATCTTTTTTTTTTTTTAAGAGATCATTTTGCTAGGATGCATGTATACTCACCAGAGAGACAGACACGGAGAATGTCAGAAATCACTGTGCAGGGGGGATTGCCATGCCACAATCCTTTCTCTAATGTGCTCTCAGGATTTTGGGCAAACACAAGCACCCCAGAGTTTCAGGCCACCATTTCTGGGACTCAAACTGGGGTCGACCATGGAGGAAATGTAGAGCCTTAACCACTGTGCCACCTGCTGGCCCTACAATTCACTTTTAAAACACATGCTTCTAACATGGATATATTCTTCAGGACTGTACATAAAATATTTCTAGAGAGGTCCAGCACTAATGACATTTTCCCAAAGGTGCTATTTTCTTCTTTCCAAAACACAGAGGTACACAACTTTCTTGTGTTGTTTTTGATTATTTAATGTTTCTATTAAGTACTTAAAGTATGTTCACACAAATAATGCAAGTATAAGTGTGAATAAGGTGGTAGTAACACTAGTTAGTGATGAAACTATAGATACTGCAATTTCCAAGGTTTGGTTAATTCAATGGGTAACTTAAGGCACTGTCCCTCAAACCACTACAAAACATACACCTCCTTACAAAACCATAGAAAAGGCAATGAGTTATTTTCTTAAAGGATATCAGCAGTTATATCAAATGTAATGAATCCCAGATCACTTCTTTCTCTAGGTCCAGTGAAGTCTTCTACATTTTTTCTGGAAGTAAAGATAAAAGTTTTACCATCCTTTAAATATAACAGAACACAAAATTCATATAATTTCTTAAAGATGAAAGACAGGATCTAGTCGTGTTGCACTGGTGAAACAGCATCCCACAAAGAAGCAAGTAGAAAACAGAGAAATCGGTAAATGTGAAAACAGGATAAGCATTCTGATCCAATACGAAAAAAAGTAGGTCTTCAGCTTCTCATATACCTTAAAGAGAAGGCTAACAAAAACTAGAGATAAAAACTACTGAAAAGAACTGTAAATAACTCGCTGCGACCCAATTTTGCAGAATAAGAAAAGAAAGTTGCACATGACTACAAGGTGGTGTGGAAACTAAAATGGTAACAGCTGCTACTTACTGAGTGCTTACTAGCATGTCAGATCCACTATGTATTTTTCACAAATATGTCAATTTTCACAACCAGTCTACCAGTAGGTATCACTGCCATTTTAAACAAAAGGAAATTAAGGCCCAGAATGGTAGGAAATTTTCTCACAGTAAGAGCCAGTATTAGTTCCAGTGTTTAATAAAGGCCTAACTCTCTAAGGCCTCTAAGAGTTGACATTGACAGGGTTGATTTCCACCCAAGTCTAAGTGAACCCTGAACTGTACCTGACAAATATCAATATAGAAAAAAGGGGATGAAGGGAGCTATTACACGGCTGGTTGTGAGCAATTCTGACAAAGAAATGAAGTGAACTGGGCTATAGAGGGAGAGAGAACTTGTTGGAAAACAGACTAGAGTAGAAGAGTGTAAGAACCAGAAAATACCAACTGCTACGCATCAAAGGCGAAAGTGGAGAACAAAAAGCTATCAAGCAATAAATGAGCAATAGCGAAGTAACAATCACTCCGAAATTCTATTTTTGCAAATTTATTCAAGCGGTTGGCTTAAAAAACAAAACAAAACAAAAACCCTGTCACCGAGGGCAGGAGGTTGAACTCTCACTGAGCACCCAACCACCTTTCTCTCCAACTTCAAAGCTGCTGCAAGTGGTGACTGCCTTCTGAAGGTGCAGCCAAAAACTGAGTCGCGAATGTCAAACAGGACAAACTCGGACTGTAAAGGACACAAAAGCGACCCCTCCTCCAGCCGCCAGCACCGAGCGGCTGAGACAACCCG